GTCCTTCATTGTGTTTTGCAGGATCTCGACCAGATGAACATCGTCCAGCGCCATAAGCTGCGGAACCTCCGTGACCGCAGCATCGCCGAGCACTTTCACCTCAATTGGGAGGTGTTTGAGGAGCTCCATGCCAGGCCACAGATGGAGGCCGAGGTCCGCTCCCCTGCTTGGCGACGTCTTCTCACCCTCGCCGAGCCGACCTACAAGGAGCTGGTCTGGGAGTTCTATGCCACCTTCCACCACAACTCGAAGGGGAACTTCGACCATGCTGATGCCGTTCAGTTCACCCTCGGCGGGGTGGAGCACTCCCTCAGTTACTGGGAGTTCGCCAATGCACTTCGTCTCAATTCCCGGGCAGCGGGCGGGCCTCCTCTCCGCTTGGACCTCTCAGATCCCACCGACTTCGCTTGCCAGGCGTACTTTCAGAGCATTTGCCTGCTGGACAGTGTGGAAGAAGAGTACGTGGCCAGCCAGACGTGGGCTGCTCTCCTCCGTCCGGAATGGAGGATCCTCAACCACCTGATGTGCACTTCTTACACACCCAGCCAGGGCTCGTCCAACCGGGTCACACTCCGGACTCTCTGGTTGTTGCATGCGATGGGTCGTTCTGAGGACACCATCCAGCTGGGCTCTGTGCTTGCCCGGACGTTCACTAAGGCAGCCATCAGCACGACTCGCAGCCTCGTTTGTGGCCCGGTGATCACCGCCTTGGCCCGCAACTACGGGGTGGACTACACAGGGATGACATTGGTCCGCAGACCAACCCCACTCGGCGAGCCTACTCTCCGCCACCAGCACTTGGTTGCTCGCCTCGGGCGTGTGCGCTGGATCGCGGGCCTTCCTCAGCCACCTATACCTGCAGAGGGCGACCAGGCCGAGTCGAGCGCCGCTGGTGGGCGCCGCGTTCCCCGACGCGTTCCCCGTCGTGCCCAGGCTCCCGCGAGCCCCTCTCCTGCTCCCCGGTCTCCTTCTCCAGGGTCACCTCCTCCGGTGGTGGTGCCCATCTCCGACCAGTTGGCGGCGATCTCGCAGCAGAATGAGCGCATCCTGGCCGGCCAAGAGCGCATCCACACACGCCTTGACCGCGAGCGGGACCGAGGGCGTCATCTCATGTCGGGGCAGCACTACATCATGTCCTACTTGGGCTTGGACCCGAACGAGGTCTACTACCCGTTCGTGCAGTCCCTAGGGTTCGAGGATGAGTACCCTCCACCCACCGGCGATGGTGGTGATGCCTTCTAGAGCGGGTTTTGTGCTTTATTTGTTTTCCAGACAGAGACTCCGTGTTTTGTGGTTTCGTTTTGTTTTGTTTTGTTTTATCTTGGATTGTAGACTTGGTACTCTGATTCCTATCACCCAGTGTGTGTGTTTTTGTTGTCTCTAGCTCTGTGCCTCCTTCTTTTCACTGGTCCGCCATCCAGTCAACGTTCCTGACCACTGTTTCACGGTAACATCGTTCCCCTTCCCTCTGCTCCATTGAGGACATTGTCGCGTTTAAGTGTGGGGGGGGGGGGGTTCTTTGTATGAATTGGAACGTATGTATGTGTGCTTGGAGCCTAGTCCACTGTCCAAATCTCGAGAGTTGAGGGCTTCAAGCACGGCTGTTTGCTTGATGATTGATCGTATTGGCACTGTGGATGTGATTAGTGAATTGAATGGCTTTTGCCTTGATACATGACAACTTGAGTGTGACTTAGACAACTTATTGTGATGATTGAGATGTGCAGTAGAATTGTGTAGGGTTTCAGTTTTTCAATTGTCTGCTCACAAAATGTGACTTGGTTCGATCACTTGCTTTTGACAGTCATTTATGCATCTAGTTCAGGGAATCAGAACGAGAGATAGAGCATATAGGTAGCCATTTGAGACTTGAGCCTGCTCGTTTCTTTCTTGTGCGATAGTTTCCTCTTCCATGATGTGCAGCATTCACGTTGTCATTAGCTAAGATGATGGAGGCATAGGATTAGCCCACGACCAAATTGACTGTCCTGGTGTGTCATACCCCTAGTCAGCCTCTTTGAGCCGTGTGTTTTCTTTCTTTCAGTCTTCAATGAAAAGTCACCCTTTTGCATCTTTTAGAAGGTTCCACAGAGTGATTTTTACATGTTCTCTGCTGTTTCTGCTAAATGTAACGTGAGGGTTGGAGGTAGTGCTTAAAAGTTGGGCAGGTGTTTGAAATTGTGCAGAGGCGGTGGTTCTCTTAAGAAATGAAAAATAATGAAAGAAAAACAAAGAAAAAAAATGAAAGCAAAAGAGAGCCACCACCAAAAATCTGAATAATGCCCATGTAGTAGTGTTTCTTAGCAGTCTGGCTTAGAAATACTAGCATTTATGTAACCTCCTTCTCTCTTGTGCTTTGAACTTGAGTAATGCAGAATAGCAAAAAGAAAGTTATTGGTTTGATTGATTGTGAGTCTGTTGGGTTTGGAAATGTGGAACCTTGTGCTGTATGAATACTCCACCACCTAAAAGGCCTTTTCCCCATGTCCGAGACCCTAGCCAGTCATCTGAACCTGTGTCTAAGACCTCCGGATTAGTTAGTGATGACACCCCATATGTGAACTCTAGCACTTAGAGGCTGCATTCATGATGAAGAGATGTTAGGGATTGAGAGATTAAGCATGCGCATTTTTCGCATCAATATTGTCCTGACCCCACTGGTCGAGAGTGAGCGATTCATTTTCTCTTATTCTCTATACTCTTTATCCCGGTGAGGACCTATATTGCTCGGTCTTAATTCTGATATCTTGAACTTTGTGCATGATGTGACTGTTTTGAACAAGTGGTTGAGTCAAGTCTATGTTGGTTGGTGAACAGAAGGGAGACTCTTCCTTTGTTCGATTTTACTGCATTCGAATGTCATCTGTGGTGGTTGTCTAGGTTGTCATTGAAGTTGTCCATGTGTTACTGATTGGAAGCAAGTATGATCCACGTGTTTTGTGCCGATATGTCATGCCTTGTTGTTTTGAGCTTACCTTGTGTCTGACTTGGTTTGCTTGGGGACAAGCAAACGGTTAAGTGTGGGGGAATTTGATAACGATGTAATTGCACGTATTTGCACCCCTAATTCTTATCCATTTGAGAGGCATAGTCGTGTATTTTAGCCTATTTTACGCCGGGTTGTGCTATTTTGTCATATTTCAGGTCCCAGGCGTCAAAGGAAAGGCTAAGCACGAGTTTCGGGGCATTCGGAAGTCATTTCGTCGAGCTGGAGCCAAAACACGGGCAGACCTAAAACAGAACACGGTCGTGTTCTGTGGCCGTGCTTTTACTGCCGAGAGCAAATTCAAGTTTGGCAAACATTGGCTAAAAAAACGGGCAGGGCTTAGACAAAGCACGGCCGTGGCCACCAAAGCACGGCCGTGTCCATCATCAAACACGCCCGTGTTTCGCCCAATGCACTGGTCGTGTAATTAACCCTAGCCAAAACATGGGCGGGCTGAGGCATTACACGGCCGTGCACTCGACCGTGCTTTGGCCACTGATGCCCTTTTAAGCAGATTTTCAGCCAAAGAGAAGGGGATTCGAGTTTTGAGAGAGATAGAGCGATTCCTAGAGAGAGAAAGTGACGAACAAGAGTCTCCAAGTGCCCTAGCTTGATCTTCATCACCATTGGAGGCCAGTTTGAGCTTGGAGAAGTGCCGAACAACGTCCAGAAGCAGGAATCCATCCTTCACAGTATGAATTCCGCGTCTGATTCTGCTTTTGCTTCCTTCTCTCTGGAGTAGTTCTCCCATTCATCTGGCTATGGAGAACCCTAGATTTGTATGTTAGGCTTTGATTGTATGAACCCAAGTACTGATTCTATGATTTGATTATATTCGATTGTGGTTTGGATGATTGAATGACTTGAATCCTGATCAAATTCCTGTTGTTTCTGCTGTAACCTAGAATGAGAATATCTGCCAGGTTGATAGAGCATCCTTGATTGAAGATAGGGAGTTGGTGACTTTAGTCGAGGAGCCAACTCACTATTCTGTACCGGATTTACTCCGGTAGTGGAGGTTTTGTTTGTTAAGGCCTCAATCTGTTTACTCCAATGGAGGTTAGTCGCCCGCTAGAGACTCAGATTGAAAGGGTCTGAAGACCTTTAGTCGAGACTTCAGGCTGTTTAAGAACCTTCAGCAGTATAACTATCATAGAAACTGAACTTGGTAATTACAATCCGGCTTAGCTGCAGTCTAGGGGGAACCATATCCGGGTGACCTCTCTTAACCTGAATACAACAGTTTACTTGCTTTGTTAGTTTGTTAGTTTAAACCTGCATTAAAACTTCATTGCTAGATAACAAGAATTCACTGAGTAGTCATCAAATCTAGGACCCGGGTTGATAATTAAACCCAAACCCGCTATACTACGCTTTAGGAAGTGGTTTCACTTGGCCAATTCCTGGAGTGACAGTAGAAGTGAGTCAATAGGTATCCTTCCAGGACGAGGATCGGTATCGTCGACAATGATGACATCACCGCGGTGATTTTTCGCCTGCAACATCAGGGTTTTGTCAAAAGGCCAAGGTGATAGAAACCTATTTCTAGGGTTCTATCGATTGAGTTGGGAAATTGGGAATTAATAGGAATTAGGGATTTAAGAGAGAATTTGGGGAAGAAGAACAGAATCGGCCTAGGCCTTTAGAGGGATTGGGATCGAGAATTGAGAGGAAAGGAGAGATTAGGGTTTAGGAGATTGTTCCTTAATACTTTCTTGATTGATTCTGAAATAAACCTAAAGTACAAATTTATAATAAAAGACTGGAAAAACCTAATAGACTATCCTAATACAACTCAATTACTACTAACCATATCTAATGATATCCTAATTATAGTAATTATAATTATTAGGAGAGAACCCAAAAATTAGGTTTCTATCATCCCCCTCCTCCTTTAGACCAACTTTGCCCTCAAGGTTGACCGACTTCACCCCTTTTCTCCGTTTCCCTTGCATAATATGTTCTTGAGCGGGTTCCTTTTCTTCCAATTTCGTTTGAGAACTCGAATGAGACTTCAACCACGACCAACTCTTATAGGTGGGTCTTCCTCCGCCCGGCGCACCAAGGTTGACCGAGCCTTCATCCACTTTGAGCCCATTAGCCCACCCAAATACCGACTCATGTCTACTGGCCCAAAGCCATCATCACCCTCCAATATAGGTGCTCTACTAATTGGGCCCATATTTGGCCCACACAACTCCTCCCCTTCCACTGCTTCACTCCGCCTTCCTCCTCCTTCCTTTCCAAAATCCCATTGCAGTACCTTCTCACAAGTCTTTATTTTCCCTCCTCGCGACTCCCTTTGTCTATTAAGTATCTCAATGGGATGGGGAAGCTCTACATCTATTGACTTGAAGCCATCATTCAATCCTTTTTTCTTCCCCACACCATCGAGATTTTTCCATCCCGCTAACGAGTTCACCTCGTACAAGAGAGCGTCGACCAGGATGCCCATTTGCGGTCCAAATCCTCCTCGAGGACTTGGCCCAACTCTCCCTAACTGCGCGACCCACTCATCCCAGACAACCCGGCCCAACCGCACGCGCCTCTGCTGCTCTGCGAGGCCCCAAGTAGCAGAGCGAAGGTTTGTGAGAATAAAGGGATTGTTGTCATCGTTGCTTCCTGCAGCATCTTATTTGCCGGCCACTCCTTCAACTTCCCCGGTGGCGAGCAACCCCATCGGCGACACGGCGGCCAGCCAGCTTCCAACATCGTCTCCGACTGCGGCGACTGATAAACCCTTAATTGCACATGTTTTTACCCCTATTCTTGAGCCGTTTGAGATGTTAATTCTCGTGTTTTAGGCCTATTTCACGCTAGGTTGTGCTTGTTTGTGATATTTCAGGTCCTAGTACGTGAATGAAGGTTTGGGAGCGAGTTCGGGGTCGATTGGATGAAGATCGGACGTGTGGCGAGACGCTGAGGAAGCCACACGGGCACTCCTAAAACCCACACGGCCATGTAAGAAACCCATGTGGCCGTGTGGGATTTGCCGAGGCTTCACACGGGCATACTGGAGAATCCACACGACCGTGTGTCCCTAGCCGTGTAGGTAGCCTGAAGTCCATTTATTTGAAACGCCGCGTTTTGACACTCACACGGGCAGCTTGGTAAGCCACACGGCCGTGTGGCCTGCCCGTGTGAGTCGGGAATTCTGGGTTTTAACCCAATTTCGAGCCACAAGTGGGGGAATCGACTTTCAGAGCAAAAACAGAGCCCTAGAGAGAGAAAGTGCGAAGAACACACCCTAGAAGCGATCTTGGAGCTTGGTTTCATCAAATCGAGCTTGGAGATCATCATAGGAGTGAAAATCATCATCCCAGAGCAGATTCTTCCCATTGTTATGAGTATTACTGCTTTGTATTCTGTTTCTCTCTCTCTCTCTCTCTATGGAGTAGAACCCTTCTCTCACTTGGGTACGAAGAACCCTAGTTCCATGTGTTAATCGAATGATGCATGATTCATTGAATTGATTGAAGTCTGATCAGCTTTTCTTGATTTCTGCTGCAACCTGAGATAGATAGAATCTGATTAGGTTGTTAGAGCTTCATCATTCGGTAGTAGTAGATTGGCTATACAAGAGTTAGTCAGTCTACTGCTTTGTACTGGAATCCAATTCCAGTAGTGGAGTTCTGCGCTTATTGCTTCAGCTTTCTATCCCGGTGAAGACTAGTCGTCTGCCGGGTAGTTAGACTGAGAGGGCTTGGTCAGCTTAAGAGATTCCAAGCTACTGTCGGATCTTCCGCAGTTTAATCAACAGTAAATCAACCCAGGGTAATTACAACTGAGACCTAACTAAGGAGCTAGGGGGACTCACTCCCGAGTGACTCTTCCTTTGCTTCAGAAAACCGAACCAATTCCTGCTTTCTTACTGCTTTTAGTTAAAACAACAATCAATCGACTTAGTTGGCTAGATAATAGATAATCACGGAGTAGGCAGTAGATCTAGACCCCGGGTTGATAATTAGAACTTGCCACTATTCTGCATTTCCGGACTGCGATTACACTTGGTCGCAGTTTGGTGTTGTGTCGTAGCGTGTCAAGTTTTTGGCGCCGTTGCCGAGGACCCTCTAGGTTATTGGAGAAACATGAAAGTTTGTTACTCTAGCTTTTTCTTCATTGCATTTAACTCTTCCACCTGTGTGCCTTCACGGGTTGCTTCTGCTTATTGTGTGCAGGTAGTGCATGACCCATAGCCAGTCGGGAGATCTACTACCATTAGACCAGGAGCTTGAACGAACCTGTAGGAACTTCAAGCGGGCTCTAAAGGCGCGACTGCCTGCGGAGGAGGTGCTAGCACAGCTGCAAATCGCCAACGAAGAAGAGATGGGTGATCCACAGGACCATGATGTGGTCCTTTTGAGGAGTAGACCATGGGATACTACTAGACCGGCAGGGCCGCGGACATGAGGTCGCCCATTCAACACCCTCATGTGCCAGCGAATAATTTTCAGGTGAGCACTTCTGTCATCACCATGCTGCGCGGTTCGGTGGTGTTCCGTGGCAAAGAGGGGGAGTGCCCCCGATCACATTTGAGGCGATTCCACGAGCTCATCGATGGAATCAAGATAAATGGGGTCCCAGCCGATGCCATCCAACTGAGGTACTTTCCATTTACCCTGGAGGGGCAGGCCAAGGAGTGGCTATACATTCGACCTCCAGGCTCTATCACCACATTCGCCAATCTGGCGGACAAGTTCCTCACTCGCTACCATCCCCCGTCCAAGACGGCGGCCCTACAGAAGCAAATTACCCACTTTGCTCAGGATGAAGATGAGACCATCCGGGATGCTTGGGAGAGATACACTAGTCTCTTCCTCAAGTGTCCCAACCATGGTTTTACCGACGCCTTCAAGGTGGGAACCTTCTACCATGCCCTCTTCCCGGAAGACAAGCAGCTGATTGACTCGGTCTGTGGCGGGAATATGCTCACCAAAACACCGCCACAGCTGAATCAACTCTTTGAAGAGATGGCAGAGCAGGGCTATGACTGAGGAACTGCGAGGAGATCAAGACGAACACCCGGGCGGGGTGTGCATGATGTAGCCACCCAGTCATCTGATTTGGTGCAGGTGGTGTCAAACCTGGTTTCAGCCATCGACCGCTCTGGGATGATTTCAGGTACAGGACAGCAGCAGGCGATGCAATGCCAGTGGTGCGAGAGCACCCATCACACTGTGGAAGACTTCCAGGCGATGCGTGAGTCCAGTACACCCCAGGAGCAGGTGAACTTCATCAACAATGTCCGGCGCAACGACCCATACAGTAACACCTACAATGAGGAATGGCGCCAGCATCCAAATTTCTCCTGGAGTGGCAACAACAATCCAAAGCCACCTGGCTTCCAGGCTCCTGCAGCTAGTTTCCCAAACCAGAGGCAGCCATACCAGCCTCGGCCGGGCCAGATGCAGCAACAACAGCCACTCTATCAGCCCAGACAGGGGCAGGCTTTTCAACAGCCCCCACAGCAGCAGTACTAGCAACCTGGTGCACCTCCATTAGTCCCAGCACCGGGCGATCGCGTGTTAGAACTGAGGGATCTAGTGACTACCTTGGCGAGCACTAGTACCCAAAAGTTCAACAAATTGGAGCGATTCATGGAAGTGGCTGCAGGTAAATTCATGGAGATTGAAGCTGGCCAGAGAAACCAGCAGGCACTCCTGCAAGACATGGACACCAAGATCGGGCACCTGGAAGATGCCCTAGCTTCCAGACCGGCTGGCACACTTCCTGGCCAACCCCTACCGAATCCTAGAAATCATAAGGAGGGGTTGCACGCCATTATGCTGCGAAGTGGGACTGTGACTGCGGATGCACCGCAGAAGAATGCCAAGAAGGTGACCCAGATCACCCCTGAGCCGGAAGAAGACCTGGTGATGGAAAAGGAGCTAGAGTATCAAGCTCAAAAGCCACAACCTGTAGTGGCTGAATATAAGCCTAAGCTCCCTTTTCCCACTAGGATTCACAAAGACATGCTAGAGGCAGATTTTGGCAACTTCTCGTCCATGCTTAGGATGCTACTTGTTCAAATACCCTTCATGGAGGCACTAGCTCATATGCCTAAGTATGTGAAGTTCCTGAAGGAGCTTCTCTTGAAGAAGCGGAGGCTGAGGAGCTGGCCACTGTGGAGCTCAGTGAGGAGTGCTCGGCCATTCTGCAGAACAAGCTTCCGCAGAAGCATAAGGATCCAGGTAGCTTCACTATCCCATTCTCTATAGGTAAATTGCATGGCGAGAGGTCCTTGGCAGATCTAGGTTCTAGTATTAATGTGATACCGTATAAATTGTTCAAGAAACTAGGCCTAGGTGAACCCAATGCAACAAGGATGAGTGTTCAATTAGCTGACCGATCTATAATTCATCCTAGGGGCATAGTGGAAGACCTTCTGGTTAAGGTTGGCAGATTCTTTTATCCTGTGGATTTTGTTGTCTTGGACATCAATGAAGACACAGAAGTGCCAAGGCTCTCATAGATGTGCATGATGGGACCTTAGTCTTGAGGGATGGCGAGGAGCAAATAACGTTTTCCATTACTAATACTCTTCCTGCTTCATCACCATTGCATGCTGTCTCTCACCAAGAGCACGAGTATGTCGTGTATCCTTCTGTGCTTCCTATTTTGCAGGATTCCCCTCCCACACCTTCGCCGCCACTGCCATCCACTCTGTTACCAAAGGAAAAGATCAGGGAGGAGTGGCGGCCGAAGCTGCCAGTAGCTCAGCATGCTCACAAGAAAGCTGCAGACCACTATGAGCTGGTCCCGCCACCTGAGCCTCGACCACCTTGGCCATCCGAGTATTCACTCGCTTGCATCCTGCCGGATGGCCAGGCCGAGTTGACGATTGCTGGTGGTCACACCCGTTATGTGCATGGCCACCATCTGAAGCTGTACATCAAGAGCGATGTGGATCCGCTCTTGAAGGCACCTGCTCCTACACCTCTCTAAGCATCCACCTACTGGCGTCCAGCTAAAAGACGGTAAAGAAGCGCTTGTGGGGAGGCAACGCCACCTAGGTTTGCATTTTCTTACCTTTTTCCTGTTTATTTTTTGTGTTTTTGAGTCTTGAGGTGTTGTCCAAGAGTCGTATGTCGATTTTGAGTGAAAACAGGTCAAATTCGGAGTTCTGGCAGCCCACACGACCAACCCTACAACTCACACGGCCGTGTGGAATTGGGTTTTTTCCATTTGGAGGCCCTGGAAAATCCACAAGGGCAGGAGGGGTCCCTCACACGGCCCTGTGGTTTTGACTCGCACGGGCAACTGGGTGAGCCACACGGCCGTGTGGCCTGCCCATGCGAGTCGGGAAATCATGGTTTTTCAGCCAATTAAGAGCCACAAGTGAGAGGATCGGACTTTTTGAGAAAATCAGAGCCCTAGAGAGAGAAAGTACGAAGAACACATCCTAGAAGCTATCTTGGAGCTGGGTTTCATCGAATCGAGCTTGGAGATCGTCCTAGGAGTGGAAATCATCATCCCGGAGCAGATTTTCCTCATCTTTATGAGTATGACTACTCCGATTACTGTTTTCCTCTCTCTCTCTATGGAGTAGAACCACTCTCTCACTTGGGGATGAAGAACCCTAGTTCTATGTGTTAGGGATTGATTGTAATGACTTGGGATGATATTACTGTTTGATTTTAATCGAATGATGCATGTTTATTGAGTCAATTGAAGTCTGATCAACTTTTCCTGATTCCTGCTGCAATCTGAGATAGATAGAATCTGATTAGGTTGCTAGAGTCTCATCATTCGGTAGTAGGAGATTGGCTATACGAGAGTTAGCCAGTTTACTGCTTTGTACTGGAATCCAATTCCAGTAGTGGAATTCTGTTCTTACTGCTTCAGCTTTCTATCCCGGTGAAGACTAGTCGTCTGCCGGGTAGTTAGACTGAGAGGGCTTGGTCAGCTTAAGAGATTCCAAGCTACTGTCGGATCTTCCGCAGTCTAATCAACAGTAAATCAACCCAGTGAAATACAATTGAAACCTAACTAAGGAGCTAGGGGAACTCATTCCCGAGTGACTCTTACCTGCTTGAGAAAACCGTATCAATTCCTGCTTTCTTTCTGCTTTTGCTTTTAAAACAACAATCACTTACTTTAGTTGGCTAGATAATAGATAATCACTGAGTAAGCAGTAGATCTAGACCCCGGGTTGATAATATCACTTGTCACTTTACTACATTCCCGGTCTGCGATTACACTTGGTCGCAGATTGGTGTTGTGTTTTAGAGCATCAAGTTTTTGGCGCCGTTGCCGGGGACCCTCTAGGTTATTGGGGAAACGTGAGAATTTGTTACTCTAGCTTTTTATTTACTTCATTTTATCTCTTCCACCTGTGTGCCTTCACGGGTTGCTTCTGCTGATTGTGTGCAGGTGACCCGTAGCCAGTCGGGAGATCTACTACCACTAGACCAAGAGCTTGAACGAACCTGCAGAAACTTCAAGCGGGCTCTAAAGGCGCGACTGGCTGCGGAGGAGGCGCTAGCACAGCTACAGATCACTAAAGAAGAGGAGATGGCTGATCCACAGGGCCATGCTGTGGTCGATCCCGAGGAGCAGACCATGGGACATTACTGGACCGCCAGGGCTGCAGACATGAGGTCACCCATTCAACACCCTCATGTCCCAGCCAATAATTTTGAGGTGAGCACCTCAGTAATCACCATGCTGCGCGGTTCGGTGATGTTCCGTGGCAAAGAGGGGGAGTGCCCTCGATCACATCTCAGGCGATTCCATGAGCTCATTGATGGAATCAAGATCAATGGGGTCCCAGCAGATGCCATCCAGCTGAGATACTTCCCATTCACCCTGGAGGGGCAGGCCAAGGAGTGGCTAGACACTCGACCTCCGGGCTCCATCACCACGTTCGCCAACCTGGCGGACAAGTTCCTTACCCGCTACCATCCTCCGTCCAAGATGGCGGACTTGCAGAAGCAGATCACCCACTTCACTCAGGATGAAGATGAGACCATCAGGGATGTTTGTGAGAGATACAACAGTCTCTTCCTGAGGTGTCCAAATCATGGTTTCAACGATGCTTTCAAGGTGGGAACCTTCTATCATGCCCTCTTCCCAGAAGATAAGCAGCTGATTGACTCAGTTTGTGGCGGGAACATGCTGACTAAAACACCGCCACAGCTGAATCAACTCTTTGAGGAGATGGCAGAGAACGGGTATGATTGGGGCATTGCAAGGAGGTCGAGGAGAGCACCAAGCTGAGGTGTACATTCTGTGGGAAACCATTCCTCTGATTTGGTGCAGGTGGTGTCGAAGCTGGTTTCAGCTATCGATCGTTCCGGGATGATTCCAGGGACCGGACAGCAGCAGGCGATGCTCTGCCAGTGGTGCGAGAGCACCCATCATACAGTGGAAGACTGCCAGGCGATGAAGGAATCGACCACACCCCAGGAGCAGGTGAACTTCATCAATAATGTCAGGCGCAATGACCCCTACAGTAACACCTACAATGAGGGGTGGCGCCAGCATCCCAACTTCTCCTGGGGTGGGGCAAATCCCAGACCACCAGTCCACCAGGGACCTCCGGGCTTTCAGAGGCCACCATATCAGCCCAGACTGGGGCAATTCCAGTAGCAGCAGCAGTCTCTCTACCAACCCATGCAGGGTCATGCTGCTCCATCACAGCCGCGACCTTTCCAGCAGCCAGCTGCAGCCCCTGCCGCCCCAGTGCAGAATGATCAGATGGCTGAACTGCGGGAATTGGTGGGTTCTCTCGCCAGTTCTAGTGCTCAAAAATTTAACACTATCGAGCAATTCATGGAAAAGGCATCGGGTAAATTCCTGGCTCTTGAAGCTGGCCAGAGGAACACACAGGCTGTCTTGCAGGATATCCAAACCCAGCTGGGGAGTGTGGCTCAAGCAGTGGCACAAAGGGCTCCTGGTACTTTGCCCGGTCAGACCATCCCTCACCCTCAGAACCCGAATGAGCACTGCAATGCCATCATGACCAGGAGTGGCAAGATGTTTGTTGATCCACCTGCTCGGGCACAAGAGAGAGAGGCCCCTGCCTTGGCATCTCCAGCAGCTGAAGAAGAAACAGAGAAGGAGGTTGAGGTGCCTGCACCTAAACCGCAACCAGTAGTGAAGGAGTATATCCCTCAACTCCCCTTCCCTACTCGGTTGCACAAAGACAGGCTAGATGCAGAATTCGGGAACTTTATGGCCATGCTTAGGAAGCTGAATGTCCAAGTACCTTTCCTGGAGGCACTTTCTCAAATGCCTAAGTATGCGAAGTTCCTGAAGGATCTTCTCTCAAAGAAGTAGAAGCTGAGCGAGCTGGCCACTGTGGAGCTCAGCGAGGAGTGCTCGGCCATTCTGCAGAACAAGCTTCCGCAGAAGCAGAAGGACCCAGGTAGTTTTACTATCCCATGCTCTATAGATAATTTGCATGTAGAGAGGTCATTGGCGGATTTAGGTGCTAGTATAAATGTTATGCCATATAAACTATTTAAGAAACTAGGCCTAGGTGAACCCCGTGCTACTAGGATGAACCTTCAATTAGCTGACCGATCTATAGTGCATCCTAGGGGCATAGTGGAAGAGCCTCTGGTTAAGGTTGGCAAATTCAATTATCCTGTTGATTTTGTGATTTTGGACATAAATGAGGATGTGGATGTGCCATTGATACTGGGAAGGCCATTCCTGGCCACCGCCAAGGCCCTCATAGATGTGCATGATGGGACCTTAGTTTTGAGGGATGGTGAGGAGCGAATAACATTTTCAATCACGAATACTCTCCCTGCTTCTTCGCCTTTGCATGCTGTATCTCACCAGGAGCACGAGTCTGTTGTGTATCCTTCTGTGTTGCCTATTTTGCAGGATCCGCCTCCCATACCTTCGCCGCCACTCCCGTCCACTCCGTCATCGAAGGAACAAATCAGGGAGGAGTGGCGGCCGAAACAGCAGGCAGCTAAGCCTGCTCGAAAGAAAGCCGGAGACCACTATGAGCTAGTCCCGCCCCCACCTTGGCCATCCGAGTATTCACTCGCTTGCATCTTGCCGGATGGCCAAGTTGAGTTGGCAAATGCAGGTGGCCACATTCGGCGTGTGCATAGCCACCATTTGAAGTTGTACCTCAAGAGCGAGGTGGATCCGCTCTTGAAGGTACCTGCTCCTGCACCTCATTGAGCATCCACCGACTGGCGTCCAGCTAAAAGACGATAAAGAAGCGCTTGTGGGGAGGCAACCCCACCGAGGTTTGCATTTTCTTACATTTTTCCTTTTGTTTTTTTTTTGTGTTTTTGAGTCTTGAGATGTTGTTCCAGAGTCGAATGTCGTTTTTGGGTGAAAACAGGTTGAATTCGGGGCTCCAGCAGCTCATACGGCCAGGCCATATTCTCGCACGGCCGTGTGGATTTTATCCCCTGGCCGTGTGAGCCCTCGACAAATTCCACACGGCCAAAAGTGCAATTCGCACGGCCGTGTGGATTGGCCTGGCCTGACCGTGTGGCCGACACGGGCAACTCGTTTGATCGCACGGCCGTGTGAAATTTTTCCATCGGCCGTGTTAGCCCTCGACAAATTCCACACGGCCAAAAGTGCAATTCGCACGGCCGTGTGGATTTCCTCGGCCTGGCCGTGTCGGCCAACACGGGCAAACTTGCACCTCGCACGGCCGTGCGTGCCTACCCGTGTGGCCGAGCCACGGCCTATATATTCGGCCAGCACGGCCGAGTGGTCATAATTTTGAAAAATCCTCGCGCGGAATCCTCTGAACCTCGCCGGAAAACCGCGACAAAACCCCCCATTTTGATTTTTTCGGCCATTTTTTGTCATTTTTCCACCAAACCAACAACAAAACCCACCCTTCCTACACCAAAAGCGGCCTATCCCTCCATTTTGAGCAGATTTGGCCGACGTTTTTGTCGCCGGAGGCGATTTCTGGCGAGACTCCGGCGAGGCTCCGAAGAGCCCTTCCGGGCACTTTTTCGGCATTTCGTCGCTTCCATCGCCTTCCCCTCATCATCCCCTACACCTCTACTTGAGTCTACAGGTTTGATTTTGCCCTTAACTATGTTAATTGTGGAGAATTGGGTGTTAGGGTGCATGTTTAGAGAACCTCATTGAATCGTGTGATTTTTGTGCAATTGATTGAGGGGAATGCATGGAGTGTGTTTGAATTGTGTTGGGCAAAGTCCCTCTTAATTGTTTGAGCCCTTGTGTGCAAGAATTGTGCCAATTTCATGCTTACCTTAATAGTGCACACAAGGTGTTCGATGAAATGCCTGTTTTTCATGCTATGTTGTGGGTACAGGTTGTGACCCTTATTGATGTGCTTTGAGGGTGTGTTTGCTATGGATGTGAACCTTAAGTTGCCTACTTTATCGTGAATGTGCACCCCCACTCAGATTATGCTTGATTTATCGAGTTTTTGACCCCCGAACTATGGATGAAACCATGGCTCGGCTGTTTTCAGTTCTTAAGTGTGGGGGTGTAATTGACCCTTTCTTTGGCTCTTTTGCTTCCACTTTGGGTTGTTCTTTTGAAGGACAATGTTGAAACCTGACCTCAAGCACCCGTTCATCCGGGATTTGAAGAGGGGGCCCGCCCAGGATCGCTTCAAGCAGGTCCTGAAATGCCCGTTTGGGCAGCACCATTGCTGGTCCAAACGGGAGTTTCGGACATTGCACTGCTACGAGCAACTCTCCGCCGCCGTCACCAACCAACCATGGCGTCGTCTTCTCTCCATCTGCGAGAAGGTTTACTATGAGCCCGTGCTTGAGTTCTACACGACCTTCAAGCACACACCCACGGACGATTGGAGAGACGGTGCAGCCGTCAAATTCAGGCTAGGCGGTGCCCCACGGTCCATGAGCTACCACGAGCTGGCCGAGGCTCTCGACCTCGACCTCGACGACGGTCTAGACTACGTCACCGAGGTCAACGACCCGCCGGAGGTGGACTTCATGAGGCTGTACACCCGCCTGGCTCGGTCAGGCCAGACACGTCCCTTCTCGGCCGGGAGGACAAAGGCCACTACACTGCAGCTCGACAACCGCCTTCTCCACCACCTGCTGGCGAAATCTTATACTCCAGCTTCAGACAGTGCCAGCGCCATCACTAAGAGGGCCCTGTACCTCATCCAGTCGATCCGCCAGGACGACCATCCCCTCCACTTGGGTTCGGTGGTGGCCAGGACCTTCGAGAAGACTGCTTCAGAACTGAAGAGTCTCAACTGCACCCCCCTCATCACCCGCCTGGCCACCTACTTCGGCCTTTCCCTGCAGGGGTGCACACAGCAGGGGGACACCATCGTTTTTGGCAGGTCGACGATCAAGCACATGCACCTGCTGCGAGAGAACCGCGGCATTCTATGGATCGAGGGGTTTCTAGAACCTCAGATCCCCGCGGAGGACCAGACGGAGGACCAGCCAGAGGTCCAGCCAGAGGGCCAGGAGGATGAGGCTGCTGATCATATGGAGCCCGAGGATGTGGACGCTGCTGTTGATCCACCACAGACTCACTTCCATTGCGGAGGTGGCAGCTCCGCTTTCCCGGGGCAGGATTACTTTACCTCCCAGTTCGAGCAGCTGCGTCTCCAGAACCAGCAGATCCTTGACCATCAGATGCAGTTCCAGCAGCAGTACGCGGCTCACCAGGCTGGGTACCACCAGAGGATGGCTGTTTACGATGAGAGATTGGACCAGATCCAGACCCAGCAGGGAGTGACTCTCGCACACATCGAACGAGAGAGGCGCCGTTCACGGCGCATGTAGGAGGTCCAGCAGCATTTACTCTGGCTGCTACCAGGCGAGCAGCCCGTTTGGAGGACTCCCTGGGAGGACTCTCCACTTCCACCTCCCCCTGCGGATGGTGATGACGCCTTCATGGATGACATCGACTTTGGTGATCTTGGCGACGAGTAGGCTGTACTCGTTGCCCATCTCAGTGTGTTTTGTTTTCCGTATTAGACTTTTGTGTGTTTGCTCCATGTGTGAGGAGCTTGAACTTAGTGTCGTTTGTTTTTGTTTTTGGTTTTCTTTTGTGGATTGTTTTTGTTGTAGCCGTCTGGGCTAACACTTATTCCTAACACAACGTGTGCTAGTGTGTTCTTGGTGTTCGATTGGTGCAGAACAGTACATCTTCCCGTTTGTTTCTCGCTGACTGGTCCACTTCCAGTCCCCTAGCAATTTCAATCCGGTAACATCGTTCCCCTTATCTCTCCCTCTACTCCATTGAGGGCAATGTCGTGCTTAAGTGTGGGGGGTGCTTTGTATAGGTTGGAATATATATTTGGGTGCTTGGAGCCTAGTCCGCTATCCGAATCTTACGATTTGAGGGCTCCAAGTACTGTTGTTTGATCATATTGGCACTGTGTTTTGATTGATGAATTGAATGGTTTTTGGATTGATGCATGACAGCTTGATTGTGACTAGGACAACCTATGATGAGGACTGAGACGTGCAGTAGAATTGTGTAGGGGTTCAGTTTTTCAACTGTTTGCTTACCAACTGTGACTTGGATTGATTACTTGTTCTTGACAGTCGTTTATGCATCTAATTCAGGGTATCAGAATGTGAGATAGAGCATATAGGTAGCCATGTGAGATTTGAGCCTGCTCGTTTCTTTCTTGTGCGATAGATCCCTCTTCCATGATGTGTAGCATTCACTTTGTCACTAGCTAAGATGATGGGGGCATAGGATTAGCCCACGACCAAATTTGACTGTCCTGATGTGTCATATCCCCTAGTCAGCCCTTTTGAGCTGTTTGTTATCCTTTCTTTTGGTCTGAAATGAAAAAAATCACCATTTTGCATCTTTTAGAAGGTTCCACAGAGTGGTTTTTACATATTCTCTGCTGTTTCTGCTAAATTTGATGTGAGTGTTGGAGGTAGTGCTTAAAAGTTGGGCTGGGCATGTGTTTGAAATATGTGCAAAAGTGGTGGCTCTCTTAAGAAATGAAAAGAAAATGAAAGAAAAAAAAACAAAGAAAAATTGAAAGCAAAGAGAGCCACTACCAAAAATCTGAATAATGCCCAGTAAGTAGTGTTTTTTTTCAGCAGTTTGGCTTGGAAATGCTGACATTTATACCTCCTTCGCTCTTGTGCTCTTGAGATATTGAGTAATGCAGAATAGCAGAAAGGAAATACCGGTTTGTTTGACTGTGATTGTGTGGGTTTGGAAATGTGGAACCTTGTGCTATGAATACTTCCACCACCTAAAAGGCCTTTTCCCCATGTCCAAGACCCTAGCCAGTCATTTGAACCTGTGTCTAAGACCTCCTGATTAGTTAGTGGTGACACCCCATATGTGAACTCTAGCATTTAGAGGCTGCCATCATGGTGAAGAGATGTTAGGGATTGAGAGAAATAACATGCGCATTTTTCGCATCAAATTGTCCTGACCCCGTTGGTCGAGAGTGAGTGATTCATTTTCATATTCTATATACTCTTGTACCCCGGTGAGGACCTAGATTGCTCGGCCTCTATTCTGATGTCTTGAGTTGGATGCATGAGTTGACTGTTTTGAGTAAGTGGTTGAGTCAAGTCTAGGTTGGTTGGTGAACAGAAGGGAGACTCTTCCTTTACTCGATTTTGCTGCACTCGAATGTCCTTTGTGGTGGTTGTCCAGGTTGCTATTGAAGTTGGTCAGGTATTGATGTTTGAAAACCAGTACGATTCACGTGTTCTGTGCCTTTATGACTTGTCCCCAATGTTGGTTGATTGCAATATGTAAGCTTACCTTGTATCTGACTTGGTTTGCTTGGGGACAAGCAAACGGTTAAGTGTGGGGGAGTTTGATAGACCGTTAATCACACATGTTTTTACCCCTGTTCTTACACCGTTTGAGGTGTTGATTCTCGTGTTTTAGGCCGATTTCACGCTAGGTTGTGCTTGTTTGTGATATTTCAAGTCCTAGTACGTGAATGGAGGCTTGGGAGCGAGTTTGGGGTCGATTGGACGAAGATCGGACGCGTGGCGAGGTGCTAAGGAAGTTGCACGGGCATTCCTGGACATCACACGGCCGTGCAACTCACATTTGTGGCCGTGTGGTTTTCGTCGAGAGCAAACACGGGCAGGATGGAAATCCCGCACGGCCGTGCGACCCTAGCCGTGTGGAAGCCTGAAGATCGAACTAATTGATACGCCGCGTTTTGACTCGCACGGGCAACTGGGTGAGCCACACGGCCGTGTGGCCTACCCGTGCGAGTCGGGAAATCTTGGTTTTCAGCCAATTTCGAGCCACAAGTGAGAGGATCGGACTTTTTGAGCAAAAACAGAGCCCTAGAGAGAGAAAGTACAAAGAACACATCCTAGAAGCTATCTTGGAGATGGGTTTCATCGAATCGAGCTTGGAGATCGTCCTAGGAGTGGAAATCATCATCCCGGAGCAGATTTTCCTCATCTTTATGAGTATGACTACTCCGATTACTGTTTTCCTCTCTCTCTCTATGGAGTAGTACCACTCTCTCACTTGGGGATGAAGAACCCTAGTTTTATGTGTTAGGGATTGATTGTAATGACTTGGGATGATATTACTGTTTGATTTTAATCGAATGATGCATGTTTATTGAGTCAATTGAAGTCTGATCAACTTTTCCTAATTCCTGCTGCAATCTGAGATAGATAGAATCTGATTAGGTTGCTAGAGTCTCATCATTCGGTAGTAGGAGATTGGCTATACGAGAGTTAGCCAGTTTACTGCTTTGTACTGGAATCCAATTCCAGTAGTGGAATTCTGTTCTTACTGCTTCAGCTTTCTATCCCGGTGAAGACTAGTCGTCTGCCGGGTAGTTAGACTGAGAGGGCTTGGTCAGCTTAAGAGATTCCAAGCTACTGTCGGATCTTCCGCAGTCTAATCAACAGTAAATCAACCCAGGGAAATACAATTGAAACCTAACTAAGGAGCTAGGGGGACTCATTCCCGAGTGACTCTTACCTGCTTGAGAAAACCGTATCAATTTCTGCTTTCTTTCTGCTTTTGCTTTTAAAACAACAATCACTTACTTTAGTTGGCTAGATAATAGATAATCACTGAGTAAGTAGTAGATCTAGACCCCGGGTTGATAATATCACTTGTCACTTTACTGCATTCCCGGTCTGCGATTACACTTGGTCGCAGATTGGTGTTGTATTTTAGAGCATCACCTATATATTTGGCCGACACGGCCGCGTGGTCAGAAAACCAACCTCCCATCGCCGGAATTCTCTCCCCCTCACCGGAAAACCGCGACTTTTCACCTTTTTGGGCGATTTTTGGCGATTTTTTGTCGGTTTTTCACCAAACCACCACCCAACCCACTCTTCCCTCATCCTTATTGGCCTATCCCTCGATTTTGAGGCGATTTGGACCGATTTTGGGTCACCTGAGGCGATTTCCGGCGAGGCTCCGACGAGCAATTTCCGGGCAGATTTTAGGATTTTCGTTGCTTTCATTGCCTTCCCCTCATCATCCCCTATACATCTACTTATGTCTCCAGGTTTGATTTTGCCCTTAACCTTGTGAATTGTGGAGAATTGGGTGTTAGGGTGTATTTTTAGAGAACAACTTTGTATTGTGTGAATTGTGTGCAATTGATTGAGGGGAAGGCTTGGTTTATGTGTGAATGATGTTGGGCAATGTCCCCCATGCTTTATTGAGCCCTTGTGTGCTATGAATTTGTCAATTTTATGCTTAACTTAATAATGCACACAAGGTGTTCGATGAAATGCCTGTTTTTCATACCATTTTGTGGGAGCCGGTTGGGGCCCTTAATGATGTGCTTTGAGGGTGTATTTACTATGGATGTGAAGCTTAAGTTTCCTACTTTATCATGGATGTGCACCCCCACCCAGATGATTCTTTTTTGATCGAGTTATTGACCCCCGAACTATGGATGAAACCATGGTTCGGCTGTTTTCTGTTCTCAAGTGTGGGGGTGTGATTAACCTTTTCTATGGCTGTTTTGGCTCCACTTTGGGTTGTTCTTTTGCAGGTTGCATGAAGAAACCCGACCTCAAGCACCCGTTTGTCAGGGATTTGAAGAGGGCCCCCCACCAGGATCGGTTTAAGCGCGTCCTGGCCTGCCCGTTTGGGCAGCATCATTGCTGGTCCAGGCGGAAGTTTGAGAAGCTGAACTGCTACGACCACTTCTCTGCCATTGTCACCAACCGCCCTTGGCGCCATCTGCTATCCATTCGCGAGACAGTTTACTATGAGCTCATGCTGGAGTTCTATACGACTGGTGCAGGCGCCCCCGACGACCCTGGCGCCCCGCCGCCACGACGATCGAATCGGAGGCCCAAGCACAACCTACGGTTTGCAGATTGAGCACGTTACTGTTGTTGTTTGTCTTAAGGAAGTTGGTTTCGTAGTCTACTTTGGATTTGGACTATTTCTTTCTTTGCAAGTTACGGATAAGGATTGTAGAAACTCTATATAAGTTTATCATTGGTAATAAGATGGGGAAGATTGGAACTCACAACTTAGTTTTCCTCGTTTTAGCCGTAGAAGTAGTTATAATGCACCAATTGGTATCATAGCCCGGTTTGAAAGAACCGAGCTCCGAACAGCTCCCGGGGCACGCGACACAGGCTGCTGCAACTCGAATTGCCGAAGAAGCCACCCGAGCCAGTGATCGACGTAAAGAGTTTCAGCGACCAGGTCTTCCACCCGAGCCACCCGACGCTGAAGTCTCCTTTTTTGGGCTCATCGGAGTTTCAAACGCCACCACCATCCGCCTCGCTGTCAAACTTCAAAACGAGACCATTGTGACCTTGGTCGACAGCAAATCGTCGTACAATTTCATCAACAGCGACAGTGCCAAGAGGCTCGGCCTCACCGCATCGCCAATTCCACCCTTCCGGGTCAAGGTTGCTAATGGAGATTATCTAGAGTGCGGACATTGCTACGAAGGGGTGTTGCTGGAAGTACAAAAGGAACGAGTGATGGTGGATTTATATGAGCTACCGATTAAGGGTATCGACGTCGTGTTGGGGGTCCAATGGTTGAGGCAGTTAAGCCCAATCACCATCGATTGGAAACAGCTACCGCTACGTTTCAAGAGTGAGGGTCGCTGGATCACATTGCAAGGAATTCGGTCGGCCATTATTCGGGATGAGAACATCAGACAAATTCAACCCCAGGAGATAGCGGCATGGGCTCTATGCGTTCCCAAAACGGAGAGAAGCAGCTCAGCACCACCACAAGAGTTGCTAGGGCTTCTTGAGGATTTCGACCAGCTATTCCAAACCCCGACCAGCTTACCGCCCGCCCGAGCAGTAGATCATCGCATTCCCCTGCAAGAGGGAATGACGGCAGTCAACGTAAGGCCCTACCGGTATGCGCACTTTCAAAAAGAGGAAATCGAGAGACATGTGAGCGACATGTTAAAGGCCGGCCTCATTCGACCTAGTGCCAGTCTGTTTTCATCACCAGTGTTACTCGTCAAGAAGAAAGATGGGACGTGGAGGTTCTGCACCGATTATCGAGCCTTGAACAAGGCCACAATAAAAGATCGATTTCCCATCCCGACTGTTGACGACATGCTCGATGAGCTTCATGGCGCTAAGTATTTCTCCAAACTGGATTTGCGAGCGGGCTACCACAAGATTCGAATGAGTGAGCAAGACGTACCCAAGATGGCCTTCCGGACTCATAGTGGTCACTACGAGTATTTGGTCATGCCCTTCGGGCTGTGTAATGCGCCATCAACGTTCCAATCGGCAATGAACGACATCTTCCGAGCTATGTTACGCAAATATCTCTTGGTCTTCTTCGACGATATTTTGGTGTATAGTGAAAGCTGGGAGGACCACCTCGAGCACCTAAGGACCGTTCTAGAGATTCTCCGTCACCACCATTACTATCTTAAGGAGTCTAAATGTATTTTTGGGCTGCAGCGACTGGAGTACCTAGGGCATATTATTTCCTCGGAAGGAGTCCAGGTGGATGGAGTCAAAATCAAGGCGATGGTGGAATGGGCAAAACCGCAAACGGTTACCGAATTGAGGGGGTTCCTCGGGTTAACCGGGTATTATCGGAAATTCGTGCACCATTATGGGATGATTGCAAAGCCCTTGACTGACCTACTCAAGAAAGGGAAGTTTCGTTGGAATGAGGATGCTGATACGGCGTTTGAGAGCTTGAAGCGCGCCATGACCACCACACCCACATTGGCGATGCCCGACTTCAGTAAACCTTTGTCATCGAAGCCGACGCATCCGGGAAGGGAGTCGGGGCTGTCCTATCGCAGGATGGCCACCCAATTGCGTATATGAGTCGTCTCTTGGGGCCAAAGAAAGAAGCTTGGTCAACATATCAAAAAGAGATGTTGGCCGTGGTACTTGCAGTGCAACAATGGCGGCCTTATCTACTGGGAGGGACATTTCATATATATACGGACCAGCAAAGCTTGAGGCACATGCTGGAACAGAGGATAACCACCCTAGAACAGCAAAAGTGGGTAGCGAAGTTAATGGGATACGATTTTAAAGTTCATTACAAGCCGGGATAGACGAACAAGGCGGCAGATGGACTCTCGCGAAGGGCTGGATCGGCTTGTCTAGAATCAATTTCTCGACCCGAACCTTCAATTTGGGATGAACTACAGGCAGCAGTCGAGGGTAATCTGTACTTGAAGGAATTAAAAACGAAGGCTCTCTCGGACGATCCCGGTGGGTACATGTTCAAGGGAGGCTTAATATATTTCAAAGGCCGAATTGTGCTACCGCCACACTCTTCCTTGGTTACCTCGATCTTGTGGGAATACCATGATTCAGCGCTAGGAGGTCATTCCAGGGCGGAGCGGACGCTTCGGAGACTCAGTGGCCATTACTATTGGCCGCAAATGGTTAAGGCGGTCCGGGACTACGTCAGTTCATGTGACGTATGTCAACGCGTAAAGGTCGAGGGACTCTCGCCTGCCAGGCTACTACAACCGTTACCTGTTCCGCAACAAGTATGGGAGGAAATATCCATGGATTTCGTCGAAGGGCTCCCTCCGGTGGCGGGCAAGTCCGTGCTCTTCGTAGTCGTTGACCGGCTAACCAAGTACAGACATTTTATGTCCCTTAGTCATCCTTATACCGCAAGGGCGGTGGCCGAGTCATTCATCGATGGGGTGGTTACACATCATGGTATCCCAGCTACCACTGTCAGTGATCGCGATAGGGTATTTTTGAGCGGGTTTTGGAAGGAGATATTTGCGCAATTTGAAACGAACTTGCTTATGAGTACGGCTTATCATCCGCAAACAGACGGACAAACTGAGGTAGTAAACAAGTGTCTGGAGCAGTATTTACGTTGCTTTACGCAACAGCATCCGCGACGGTGGCTCACGTTGTTGCCGTGGGCCGAATTTTGGTACAACTCCACGTACCATCGGACCATAGGAACGTCCCCGTTCCAAGCATTATATGGGCGGCCACCACCACCAGTCATTTCGTACCAGGTCCAGGGAAGCCCGTTTGTTGGGGTGGACGAGCTGTTGGAAGAGCGTGATATTGCCCTCCGTAACCTGAGGAAGAATCTCGAAGCTGCCAATCTGCAAGCCAAGCAATTGAAGGATGCTAGCCGTCGGGATGTCGTGTACGACGAAGGCGAGTGGGTTTTGTTGCGGTTGCACCCGTACCGTCAGTCCACGGTTTTCCGAAGAGCTTCCCAAAAGCTAGCAGCGAAGTACTTTGGCCAGTATAAGATACTCAAGTGTATAGGAGCTGTGGCGTACAGACTTGATCTTCCTACGCATTCCAAAGTCCAGCCGGTTTTTCATGTATCTCTCCTCAAGAAGTACATCAGCGACGGAGAACCAGGTCGCATCGACGTTCCACCGATTACTGCCGAGGGAGAGCTAGAGCTCGAGCCGCATCGGGTTGTTGACTACCGGTGGACGAAGGTGAGAGGAGGCGTATTGGAGGAATGTCTTGTGCAGTGGAGGCATTTGCCGGAGGAAGAAGCGACCTAGGAACCTGTTGAAGAGATTCGAAGTCGTTTTCCGAGCCTCGACCTTGGGGACAAGGCCGAGCTTTAAGTGGGGGAATGGTGCAGGCGGCCCCGACGACCCTGGCGCCCCGCCGCCACGACGATCGGATCGGAGGCCCAAGCCCAACCTGCGTTTTGCAGATTGAGCACGTTACTGTTGTTGTTTGTCTTAAGGAAGTTGGTTTCCTAGTCTACTTTGGATTTGGACTATTTCTTTCTTTGCAAGTTACGGATAAGGATCGTAGAAACTCTATATAAGTTTATCATTGGTAATAAGATGGGGAAGATTGGAACTCACAACTTAGTTTTCCTCGTTTTAGCCGTAGAAGTAGTTATAATGCACCAACGACCTTCAAGCTCGAGGAGACAGAGGATTAGGCAGACGATGAAGCCGTCAAGTTCCATTTCGGCGGTGCGCCCCGCTCAATGAGCTACCACGACTTGGCGACCACTCTCGAGCTCGGCCTGGACGATGACAGGGACTACGTCACCGAGCTCAGCGATCCGGTGGGGGTGAACTTCAAGACGCTGTACACCCGCCTCCCTCAGCCCGGCCAGCGTCCCTTCGTTGCAGGGCGGACGAAGGTCAGCACCTTGCAGCTCGATAACCGCATTCTCCACCACTTATTGGCGAAGTCCTATACTCCAGCCGGGGAGAGTTCCAGCACCATCACCAGGAGAGCGCTGTATTTCATCCTGTCCATGCGCCAGGCGGACCATCTTCTCCACCTGGGTTCTGTGGTAGCCAGAACCTTTGCCAAGACTGCTTCAGAACTGAAGAGCCTCCACTGCGCTCCCCTCATCACCCGCCTGGCCACCTACTTCCAGATTTCCCTGCAGGGGTGCACGGAGCGGGGGGGGCACTAGTACTTTCGGCGAGGACACGGTCAAGAGTATGCACCTGCTGTGAGTGGATCGGGGCGTCAAGTGGATCGAGGGGTTTCCTCAACCTCAGATCCCAGCGGAGGACCAGCCAGATGCTCTTGAGGACGAGGCTAATGAGGATGTCCACCCCGAGGATGTGGATGATACTGCTGCCGCCCGCCCGACCACCTTCGAGTACGGGGGTAGCAGTTCCACCTTTCCATCGCAGGACTACTTCGCCCACTAGTTCCAGCAGCTGAGCATCCAGAATCAGCAGATCATCGACCATCAGCTCCAGTTCCAGCAGCAGTACTCGGCTCACTAGGCCGAGTATCAGAACCGGATGGCTGCATATAATGAGCGCCTTGACCGCATGGAGACCCAGCAGGGGGTGACTTTGGCTCACATCGAGCGGGAGAAGGCCCGGTCTCGGCGTATGCAGGAGGTCCAGCAGCACCTGCTCCAGCTGATACCGGGCGAGCAGCCAGTCTAGAGGACTCCTTGGGAGGACTCTCCCCTACTACCCCCGGCCGCCGACGATGACGCCTTCATGAACGACATCGACCTCGACAACCTTGGCGACGAGTAGGTTGTACTCGTCGCCCCTCAGAGTATGTTTTTATTTTGGACATTTTATGTTTTCTCCATGTGTTTGAGGAGATTGAACTGCGTCTGTCGTTTGTTTTTTTACTTTTGGTTTTCTTTTGTGGATTGTCTTTGGTATGGCCATCTGGGCTAACTCTGATCCCTAACGCACAGTGTGCTAGTGTGTTCTTGTTATTCCCTTCGTGCAGAACTGTCTGTTCGTTCCATTTGTTCCCCGCTAACTGATCCACTTCCCGTCTCCTGGCAGTATTTTAATCTGATAACATCATTCCCCTTATCTTTCTCTCTGCTCCATTGAGGGCAATGTCGTGCTTAAGTGTGGGGGGGTGTTTATCTATTGTTGACTGCTAGATGAGTTTGTGTGCTTGGAGCCTAGTCCACTGTCCAATTTGATAAATTGAGGGCTCCAAGTACTGTTCCCTACAAATATCCTGCTCAGTATGCTTTGAATTGACAGTCTTTATGGTGATATGCAACCTAGGGAGGTAGTTGTAGCACTATGGAGGATGTTGAAGTATAAGATTTTTCCTATCTGTCTCTCTGCTGTGCCGGTTGATTTTGTGAACTAGTGGATTTAGGACCGTTTATTCATGTGGTATTGATGACTCTTCTTATGTTGTGTTGTGGACTCGTGTATCAAAAAAGGGTGCTCAAGTGTGAAATGAAAAAGCAGTTGGTCCTCCATGTCAGAAATATCAAATTCTAAGACATGGGGTAAGCCCAACGTGTGTGGCACCGTTCATTATATTGCACAAAATCAGGTTTTGGAAGAGATTTTAGTGATCCTTGGTGGGGTAGGCCTACAAGGTGAAGCTAATATGTCTCTAGTACAAGTAAAATTTCCACCCGTTGAACGGTTTGCCTACTTGAGGATGTGTTTTTAAGGGCACGGATAGAGCTTCCGACCCCCCTTAATTTCATTCACCCTCCACACGAGTTGAGGAAAAGGAGTTAAAAGAAGTACTCTGGCGAGCGCCAGATGTACAGAAATTGCTCTTGCTCGACTAATAAGGGTCGACCGTGCAAAAGACTGCAGTTGGAACCCCCGCCAAGTGAATAAAAAGAAAAAAAAAGAGTAAAATGAAAGTGAAAAAGGGGTTACAGAGTATAGACAATATTTTAGCCACTAAGGGGTGTTTGCTTGTGGGATTTGGGTGTTGTATTTAGCACCCAAATACCAAGCATTATGTATTTGATGACAAAATATTGTTTGTTGAGGTATACAAATTCGTGGATCTCACGTATTTCAAAATACCATATTTCATTTGGTATTTGCAAATACCACATTATGGAAGGCAAATTTTTTAGACCCAAATACCAAATGAACTAAATCCATGATAAAAATTCAACTAAACAAACAATGTCATCTTTCAAATACAAAATGCAATAAATCCATCATAAATCCAAAGGTTTTCAAAGCTCAAAACCTTCATTTTCAAATCCAACAAGCAAACGAGTCGTAAATGTTACACGGCTAAATCATCATATGTAAAAAAAAAATTATAATCAAATCGATAATTAATCTCGTAAACCATCATATGTAAATATTGTGATAAACTTTCTCTCTTCTTTCTGTTGAAAAATGAAAATACAAAATTTTCTCCTAATTTTTCTTTCCATATATCAAAACTGGTTAATACCCTAGTTTGGCACGAAGTTTGACTTAAATGACAATTTTGGCCCGACTTTTCCAATAAGACAGTTGTGGCCCACTTTTCAAATTATTAGATAAATTTAACCCGAAATATATGTTGACCGTTAGTTTTGCCAGTCAAACTTTTAATCCATCAGTGACTCAACATTCAATGCTAAGGTGGCAGTGACATGCTTACACACAATTTATTTATGCTAAAAATTATAATAAAAGTAAAAATAAATAAAAACTTAAGAAACATAAAGACAATTTTGCTCAGTATTCCTAGTCGCCTCTTCTTAATCAATCTCCTCCATGACTCCTTCCTCCCCGCCGACTACCTCGTTGCCGCTCCTGGCGACACCGCCTTCAGCAACCCACCCATCTTCCCTTACCACATCGTCCCTCGGCGACTCGCCTTCGCTGATCTCCGCTACTTCAAGCCTCTCTCCCACCTTCCGCCAGTTCAAGCCTCTCTCCCGGCGAGAAAAACATCTCAATCTCCCTGCTATTGCTGGTACACGAGATACTTTCTCTTTCATCAGAAAAGCAGAGGCGAGCTCTGCCTTTCCCGGCCAGGCAGGTTATTCCGCCACTTTGAACCCTTTCAGACAGAAACCCAGAAAACCTCAACCGCCGTGGTCTCAAACCCTTTCAGAAACCCAAAAAACCCTAACCGTCGTGGCCTCGAGCCCCTTTAGAAACCAGAAAATCCCAACTCTCTCTCCGGCGACCATTTCTCATTTACCGATTATTTCTTCCTCTGCACCCGATCTGATTTGAAATAGGGCGGTAGCTCTATCTGGGTTCGTTGACTCAAAGATTGGATCTCCCGGTCATGATGGTTTGGCGGCGATGTCGAGCTTTTTGTGGGTTCGATTATCAATTAGAGAGAGGGATGAAGTGGGTGGTGCCGGCGATTGTTGGGGAGAGTTTGAGTTGGCAGGATTGGTGCTCGAGGGATGAGGAGAAGTAGTCGGAGTCTCATAACTGAAGCGGTGTTGACGAGGAGGTAGAAGAGGATTAGGAGCCAGAGGAGGAGAAGGGTAATTCGCCAAAGTTGCATAGAATAGGTGTATAGGGCTAGGGACCTGTTATTCTAACAACACCCATTGTGTTGTTATTGTAACAACACTAGTCCCCAACCAATAGGAAGCTAGGGATGTGATGACTTTTTATTAGTTGAGTTGACCTAGTGTAAAATCAAAACAGGGGTATAATTGTCATTATGAAAAATATGTTTAAATAATAAAAAAATAAAAAAAATAAAAAATAAAAAAATAATTTTTATTTTCTGCCCAAAAATTTGATCGTCGGAATTCTGCCACCGGTCGCCGGTCACCGGAATATGCTATTTGTCGCCGGAATATGCTATTTGTCGTCAGAATATGCTTACCAGTGTCGGAATATGCTTACCGGCGTCGGAATCTAGTCATCGGGGCCGGAATATGCCTATCGGTGTCGGAATCTGCTCACTGACGGTCACCGGAGTTCGGTCAACGAACTTCGTTGACCGGTCAACGGTCTTCGTTGACCGGGTCAACGGTCAACGGTCTTCGTTGACCGGGTCAACGGTCAACGAAGACCGGATGTATGGTCTACATTGTGAGATTTATGGTTTGGTTTCTCATATTTTCGTATGCCTTTTGTGGTTTGCTTTATCGTGTTTGTGGTTTGTATTAAGAAGTTTCTGGTTTGCTTTATCGTGTTTCTGGTTTGCATTGAGAAGTTTCTGGTTTGCTTTCAAAAACTTTGTGGTTTGCATTGTGAGGTTTTTGGTTTGTTTTAATATATTTGTGGTTTGCATTAGGACGTTTATTGTTTGCTTTTTTGTGGTTTGATTTACTGTGTTTGTCGTTTGCATTAGGAGGTTTCCGGTGTGCTTTCGCAAATGTTATGGTTTGCTTTGTGAGGTTTGTGGTTTGTTTTAGGAGATTTGTGATATGCATTAGGAGGTTTGTGGTTTGCATTATGAGGTTTTTTATGTGTTTTGGAAAGATTTGTGGTATGCATTAGGAGGTTTCTGGTTTGTTTTAATATATTTGTGGTCTGCATTAGGAGGTTTCTGGTGTGCTTTCGCAAATGTTGTGGTTTGCTTTGCGAGGTTTGTGGTTTGTTTTAGGAGATTTGTGGTATGCATTAGGAGGTTTCTGGTTTGCATTAAGAAGTTTCTGGTGTGCTTTCGAAACTTTTGTGGTTTGGTTTGCGAGGTTTCAGGTTTTTTTAAATATATTTGTGGTCTGCATTAGGACGTGTTTGGTTTGTTTTACCGTGTTTGTGGTTTGCATTAGAGGGTTCCTGGTGTGCTCGCAAAGCAACAACAATATAACAACAATATAAGATATTTGTTATTGGAACATATACAAAGATTTGTACGGCTGAAATGCATTAACCAAGAGACCGGCTTAAGCATCCAATTAGCAATCACACCAGAAAACCCAAATCCCAAAAATGACAAAGTAAGAAGTTTACAAACAATGAACACTAAGGGATGTTCCAACGCCCTTATGTTCTGGTTACCACCTCTGTTGCAGAGTGTTTTCAGGATATAAATTCTCCTTTACTCTGCGTCTTTGTTGGTTCTCAATCTCAAGTTGAGCAGCTTCCGTATTAGTTTCTTCTCTTCAGACAGACATCCAAAGGGATCAACAAAGAGACTGCCCTTGCTCTGGCTTCCTTTTACATGCTAACTAACCGGAGCTTCTGTTTTCCCCTTCCAACCGCCATGAGAGAAGCAAATCCTCCCTGCAGCGACGTTGTCGGTGTTGGGTGTGTAGGTCAATGACGATGAGAGGCGCCGGCGTCACGAGATCTAAAACAGAGGAGGCCATCGACGAGAAGAAATTGCAAAGTCTATTTCCCGGCGCCGGCGAGGAAGAAGCGGGGCAGAGGAGTCGGAGAAGGAACGAGATTCGGTCGGAAAACTAATCAGCAGCCGCCGCTGCCATTGTGACAGAGCTATGATGGAGAGATCGGCGGAGTTGCCAGACTGGCAGAGCAAAGTTTGGGGCGGGATGAGGGAAGAAACCCGATTTGATAAGTAGGGATGGGTAAATATATTTTAATTAACTTTTTTATTGGTTAGATATTATGTTAGTTTACTCTTTTACCCTTGTTGTCACTATAACAACAGTATTGGTGTTGTTATAGTATCCGAACCCCTTCTAATGTAATGGCCTGCGTACATCCCTCCCTGTGCGACGGAACTAAAATCCGACTTCCCGTCCACTTTGCAGCTCTTCCTCCGGTAACTCAATTCGTCAGCCTCCTTCGACCTATTACCTAGTTTCCCCCTTCCAGTCGCTCCCGCGCTCTCTAGGGTTCCCCTTCTGTTTAAGCTTGTCGAGTACTCGGTTCGACCAAGCAGCGATTTGCAATGGAGGAGGACTCGGAGACGAGAAGAGATAGACTGAAAGCCATGCGGGAGGCGGCATCGGCAGCCACCGACGCTAATTGCTCCAGTGGTCTCCCGACTCTTGATGCAACGCCCGTCGCTCTCGCCAACCCGCTGCTCGACAGACCCTCGGAGATGGACACGCGCGGTGCTCCGCGGTTTGATTTCTACACTGATCCTATGGCGGCCTTTTCTGCTACTAGGAATAGGAATTCTCCGGGAGACATAGGACCTCCCGAATCACGGGCTCCGTCTCCCTGGCCAGGTAGTTATTACATACTGCAACTGCTTCATTAGTATTTTGGTTTTGGGAACATGGGTAGTTTCAAGGAATTTGCTGTACCTTTGTGTTAGAGTAGATGATGCTGCCAAGGTTTTGACGGCATAATGTTGATGTGGGTTCCTGCCATTAGCATGGTTGGTGGCTTGGGTTAAGGCGTATCTAGAACTTGTGTCAATGTTTATAATCTTGAATTATTGGGGGCTTCCTTGTGCTAAATAGGTCATTTCTGAAATCCCAAATCTATCGACTTAGATACTTAAGGTGCATGGGTTGGACATACTGCAATCGTTGTCAGTTCGGTCTTGGGTTGAATTTAATAGCCAGATGATTTATATAACACTGTTCTAGCCTTCAAGTTTATGGATTTGTTAATTGTTATCCTCAATTTTGTTTATCCTGTTCATTGCAGGACCAAGAAACTCGATCCCTACATCAGCTCCTCCATATATACAAGGCCATCATCCAGTTAATCAAGGGATGATGTACCAACCGAGAAGTCCTTATGATGGTGTTGCTTCATATGGGAGACAAGGTGGTATCAGAAGCCCTTTCCCATTTCATCAAGGACCTCCTCTCCAAGCTCCAAACCCGCAATATCAGGGAAATACTAACTATGGACCAGCAAGAAGCCCTGGTTTCAATCAGGGGCTAGGAAATGCCACATGGATGGGTAATAATCCTCGTCCGAGATCAGGGTATGGAGGTCATCATCAAGTTCCCAGTGGAGGCCAGGGCCGAGGCCAAGGGAATTTTCATGGTGGCAATAGAAACCCAGGTTTTGGACGTAACAGTGGGAGAGGGAGGGGTTTTCACAACAATCATGGCTCTAGATACACCGGGGAAATGAGGCCAGAACAATTTTATCATCCTTCTATGATGGAAGATCCATGGGAGGGTTTAGAGCCAATTGAATGGAAAGGAAAAGGAATAGACTCATCACAGTCTTGGATGCCACAGTCCATTGCCACAAAAAAGGCACGAGTTTCAGAACCTTCTATAAAGTCCAACACTGAACAAAGTCTTGCGGAGTACCTTGCCTCTTCATTTAACGAAGCTTCCAACGCTGATCCAAGCACTTGATGCTTAAGTTGTGTGACTGATCTAACTGCTGGTTTCCATGCTGTTGAAGATGCAGGACTGGAATCTCAAGAAGAGCTATTAAAGATCATTTGCTAGGTGAGATTAGCAGTCATTTCGATAATTTGGTGGTCCTGCTTCTACTCTGTGAAAAAGTGCAGAGGCTAGAACAGCTTTCTGGAACAACTTTGAGATGCTATTTTTGCTGTGGGGATTGAAGTTCTTATCTGCAATATTTGCTTGCATTCTTTTTACGGCTGCTAATGCTGATCACGTGTTTTCACACCTTCCTCTCATACTAATTGCCTTGTGTTCAAAGAAGAATGGATATACATGGTTTCATTGGAGCACTGTCATAGTTTGGGTATTTTGTTTTGTTTGTATGCACTGTGCAGCCATATGTCTCTATTGAGGGAAGTACAGTGCTTGTGTTCTGTATGAGTAATTGGTTGGAATACCTTTTCAAAGATAAAAGTAGAGACATTGTGTTAGTTTTGTACTCTATAACGAACTATTTGTTGTTCATCTTTGTCAGGTGAAGATTCCATAGTGAGGTTCAGTCCCCTACTAGTGTCTGTGCTGTAAAGTAGAAAAGTTTGTTGGAAAAAAGATGTGTGGAACATAGAATGGGAATGACAGTAAGGCTAGAGGTAGAGCTTGCTTCCTTTCCTCTTCATGGCGCAGAATCTAAGTCAGTTGAATATAGCCCCACTGGTGTATTCCTTCCATACTCGAAGCTACTGATCCTGATTGAAATTGTCATCTCTGCTGCACTTTTGTTCTTTTCATTGTAATTTCGTCCTTTCAATTGTATTCCATTCCTAGGTAAAGGTTCATTCAAACAAACTGAATTGTGTTCGACAACAGTGTCCCTCTGGAACTTCACTGGAAGAAAATGCTTTGCATTGCGCAACAATTACATTGGTCTACTCGAATCCTACTTCCAATAATGTACTTTCGTACAATTATACTTGTACGTCTAAAACGGTAGTTAACCTGCTGTCAAACAATTGCTAAGCCCTAAGAAGATATCAAGACGACCATGGATCCAAAAAATGTTGAACAGCCAGAGATGGGTCAATGTCCTGCTGTCAAAGACAACGCCGAAACCTAGCGCACGATCCACATTCAGCTACAGGTTTCTGGTCACAACAAATCTCATCCATGAATGCGTGCTTGAGCTGCTCAGCCAGGCTTGGTGGGTGGTCAACCAATGCGTCCACGAAAGCATTGACCACCCTCCTCTCTTGAGCAGTTGCTTTCAGGCTAAACCAAGTCAGGAACTTCACTCTGAAACCTTCCTCTATCTGCCCTTCCTGCTCCAGCCATTTCACCGCTCGTACCGAGTACTCGTACTCGCTTTCCTCTGCTCTTCGTTTGCATCCAAAACCGGAGACATCCTGTGTCTCGCTGGACTTGCAGGGCGTGGATGGCGAAAACGACCCATGGTTGGTCAATGCAACATCTTCTATGGCTGGACGTGGTGAGCATTCTTCCGGACGAGTTCCACAAGCTGAAAGAAACCAAAATCACGAGCAAGCTACATCAGCAGAAGAAATATCCTTTTGTGAATTGAAAATGTCTAGAGAAGGAACTTACAGGGTGGTGCCTCTTTCTTCTGCTCATAGCCTGGACAATCACCAGAAGATTTTAAATCGAAGGATTCGATTGCAGATGCACAAAACTTCTGAACCTCAGAGCCACAAGAAAGTCTATTGACAATACCCCGTGCCATCTTCGTGCACACGAGATCCAGAGGACCCAGCTCATTCTTCAGCAACTGCAATGCAGTTTCCATCATTTTGTGGATCTCATTGTATTGTTCAGTTCCAGAGAGAAGCTTATGGGCCAGGAGGACTCGCAGACACAATACATCCACTCTTCTAGCTTCTTTGGCAATCAATAGTTGCTTTCTCCAGATTCTGAAACATCACAATGTCAATTCTGATTAGCAGATATGGGAGATCGAAGATGGGAATTTTATTAGGCAGACAAAGAACAAGAATGCAACATTCAAACATCTCTGTGCATCAAATCCATTATTCATCTGAAAAAGAGTTCCATGACAGCAGAAACCGATGAGTTGCATAGTGAGTTAAAATCAGCAGGTGCCACTTAAGTCTTAAGCTTACCTCATTAGTCCATTGACTTTCCCACAAGAAACGCAGTAGAAACTCCCATCCAGCTTTTTACCCGAACCCGTATTATTGACGATTCCAGACCTTTTATCCTTCAGGGCACATACGAGATGGCAAGTAAACCCACAGGAATTCTCGGTACAGGAGTCAGAACCACAGGTTAGCCACAGACTGGGATCCTTATTTTCGTCGTAATAATGACAGATACAGCAAGAACATCTCCTGCAGAACGCATCATTGGAAGATAAACTGGCCCGACATGCAGCATTCTGACAAACTTGGACCTCAACTTGTTCCTTGGTGCGTACCAGAGAATCAGGAGGGTTTTCCTCAGTTGAAGATTGCACTTTAAATTCATTCAGTCTTTTCCTCTTAACCCCATTTTGAGCTCCGATGGAAGCACATGATGCTTTCACTTTATCTGCATCATCGTCGTTTCCCTTGCAATTCTGTGAGACTACCTTCAGAAGTTGTTTGATCAGCTGAGATTTAGTGTACCCTGAATATTTCCTCTCTTTACCCATCTCTGCACAGATAATCTGAAGAAGCTCCCTGCGTGTGAATGAACTAAGAGCCTCCCATGCATTATTCGGCCATCGAGCAATCTTGCAAGCTAAATCTCTTTTCTCTTCGAAGCTCAGCTGACTGCATTGCTCCGGGTCAATAACTGAGCCTGCAGAAATGAAAAGCCAACCAATTACTCGTACCGAACGAATCATTACAGCTCAATCTTATCATCATATCATCTCCAATCCCAGCATGATATCAAAATACATTTTATCCTACTGCGTGTCTGTGTGCTTGGCACAACATCAATCAAATCAAAACTAAACCAAGGGACATTGTTCATTCCACAAGTTCAAGACCATCTAACTCTCAAATAATTTGGGTTCTCCTTTGCGCAACTAATTCTCCATACACAATTGCATGATTGACCATAGTTTTCAGCAAAATCACAGTGCACCTAGAAGAACATACTGAATGAAAAATCAAAGAATCAGGCAGCCAGGCACGGGCCAATTCAAAATTCTGACAAGAAACCCAGCCAAAGGGGCCAGTAACCCACATCCAGCATAGCACATTGCAGTTGGAACAGAAATCAAACCGCAGAATAGAAGGGAGGTCTCATCTGGTAATCAACATAAACATACGTCGTTGATTGTTGCGTGTACAGAGAACAAACAGCACAGATAAAGAGAGTTGGTGGGTGTAAATGGGTGATCAAAAGGAAGCAAAACCCAGATGCGGAAAAATGGGCAATGTATATACATATATCAAGGACAAAAAGACATCGCCAGAGAAAAAGAAAGGCTAAAAATAACCAGAGTCACCATTGACTGTGATTTGTGAAAGCGGTTAAGAAAAGGCAAAAGGACCGCAAAAGTGGAAGGGAAAAGCACAATGCAGAACCAAATACAGGGAAAGAACTCACCGGAGAATCCTCCGGACGCCATTACTCCACAATGCAAGCGGTAAAATAGATAGAGCTTGGGTGTGTCTCCGACTGACGACAATGGAGACCAACCCACAAAGAAATAAGAGAGAATAGAAAACCCAAAATTGGTGAGGAAATAGAGAAGGAGACGGTATGAATTAGCTGGGCAAAAGATTTCGCCTTTGCTTGTTTAATGCGAAATAAGAAGAGTGCAGGTAGGAAGAGGGTAGGGAGTGGGGGAGGAGACCGCGGCGGAACCCAGAAGGCATAGAAAGAGAGAGTGCCGTGCTCCTAGAATGAAGAAATACAATGTTTTTTTAATATTTGATTAAAGGGACGGTTAATGATGGTTATATAAATATTATAATGATCATTCATCACTAGCATGCTAGTTATTTGATTTGGATTATCATTGGATGTCAACAACAACAACAACAACAACAAAAAGCATTGGTCTCAAGCCAAATGCGTAAGATTCTAATTTCTAGGCCAAACATTGAATAAAAATTCATGTTATTTCCTTTCTTTCTAGTCCACATTAATTATTTTCTTACGATACTATTCCAAAAAGGCAAAAACTACAGGGCATTACAATTAGTATCAGAAACGGGTTGGAGGTTCACAAAGACGAAATGTCATCTGCAAGTGATGATCATAATGAAAAGTACTATGGTTAGCCATTTCAAATTCTGGAGCAGTGTGTGGTTCATGCATAGTAAACAAGTTATAAAATTAAGAATGTCTAGCCTCGTATTTCAAAGGGTCTTTTAATAATAACTACTCAAAACTAACAACTTATGCTTGAGATAACAATGCAATGAAAATAAAATAAGATGGATTGAGGTGCCCTTAGTCGAGATTCTATTATACTCAAGCAAGAAAAGAAAACAAAGGAAAACATACAAGTAAAGACAATTGTTTAGGTAGTGTATTTTAGATACTCATGCATACAGTCTCATCAATGAAATACTTCCATGGTTCTTCTATTATGATATCACATCCCGTCATTGAATGCATTCCAAATCGAGCTTTCGCCACATGTGAGAGGAACATTGGTTAGCTAATGCGTACTTTCGCTTCATGTCATCAACTATCTAACTAATAACAATAGAATTAGGACAACACCTTGTTAAGTGTGATCTGCTTGAGTCATAAAATAATGCTTATAGTATTTATGATCTAACAATCAAGCATTGATCTCATATGTACTTGCATAGTCGCGTCCAACTAAACAAGCATACACAAAACAATGATTCACAAGTAAGTAGTTTTCATAACATCATAGATGATATTGTAAACAACATATAGTAACACATAGTAGAGTCATACGCATAGAATAAAAATAGTACTTTATTGAATCATAGAAAGATAAATGAGTAAAATAGAATTCACATTTGCAAACAACTTTGAGCTAGCTATCTAGACATAGGATAATAGAAAGGCATCACCAATAATGAAGAACATTGATGGTAAAGACCTCCTTGTTGAACTCTATTGCATCACATTCTCTCCATGGCTCTCGAACTCGTGCCCTTAAGGGCATAGTGTTGGTGGGTTGTTTCTATCAGTTGTAAGACCATCCACAATGTGAGTGGGAGGGAAAAGTGGGAAAATAGGGAAAATGAGGAAAATGGATGTTTTGGTCACAATGTGGAGGGTGGGAAAAGTGGTTGGTTTAACACTTTGTTGTTAAAATCAATCTGCAGTTGATTTCCTCACTTTATTTTTATATAATGATCATTATTTTTACGTAGTTAGTGATAATTAATCAAGACGAACATTTCGATATAATTTTTTTTTAATTTGGACATAATTTTTTTCATCATTTATTAAATATAACGTCATTAATTTTGTCAGGTGCGGATAAAACCAATCAAAATACCTCACAATAAAAGGAAACCATTAAAATAAATAAATTAGAACAAAAAAAAATAATAAACAAATTATATGCGGTCCCGGCAGTGGGCCACTCCTCCCTCCCTTGCATCCACCATTTGTTTGCTAGTGGGTGGGTATTCCCACCCAATTTTTCCCCTTTCTCCATCTTTTCCACTTTTCTCACCCACATTGTGGGTTATTTTCCCACTTTCCCCCTAAACCCACCTACATTGTGGAGAGTCTAAATGTGTCTAAAACCTCTAGCCTAAGCCCCTATTTATACTAGTTACAATAGATTTTTTTTAGTCTTTTCCCTACTAAAGTCTGCCAAACCCTTTCTTGTACGAATGAGACTCAGATTCTTCAACTTGAGGAAGAAGCAAGAAGCTTCTAGAACTTGGCCTCTTCACGGCGGCCCATGTCTATGGCAGTACCCGTCACGTCTTTCTTTTTCGTGGGTTGTTGTTGAGTGGTTTCATTCTAACCTCACCAATGATAATCTTGTTGCACTAGGTCTGCTTCTCCGGGCCTTAGAATGAGTATCTGATATCTAAATCCATCTTTGTGGGCCCGCATACTTTTAATATTGTCATTGTTCTTATCAATTGATCCTTCATATTCATCTTGAGTGCATTTTATCCCTGAAATTCACAAAACAACACTAAAGGGCATATAATCGTACAAAAAACACTCTATGTCTATCTTAAGCACATTATTCAAATAGTTACGATACTTATATAAAATCTAGCGAACTCTACTAAAGTTGTATTTATATAAAGTGAAAATGTATCAAATATGGGATTGATAAACATTATAAATGGAGTGTTATCAGAAATACCCCACCCTTGAACTTTTTTGTCCCCAAGTAAACACTACTAAGAATCATATAACTAAATGAAAACTAAGAAGTATATCACTCAATCATGATCTTAGGTAGTGGATCAGAAGTGATCTCACAAGGTCAACAATATCACGAGAGAAATCCTAACCACATCAATATGCAAAAATACCATGCAATCCAACTCACTTTTAAACTACTAACCATGCATTAGAGTTTGAAAACACATAGGGTGAAGCTTTTTGAAAATGGTTTTTGCTCTTGAATGCTTCTGCCATCACTTGACATACCCTTTCAGCAATTTTGCCTTCAACAAGCACATACTTTTTTCAATTTTTATGAGTTTCTTACTTTTCTTCATCACTATTTTTCTTTTTCTTGTGTAGGGAGCTTTACTAGAGCATTAGATCCTTAGATACTTTAGGACACAAATGACACATTAAGAATTGGCATATTAGGTTAGGACACAAAATAAGGTTGGGACACAAATGTCATATTAGATACTTTAGGACACAAATAACACATTCTTAATAGTTCGGGTTTCCTAGTGGTATTAGCCCAAAAATTTAACATGCATAACAAAACTATTAGATTTGGATAAATTGTCTAAATCGAATGACTAAACATATAGCAAGAATAAAGCATAACAAAGCATAGCATTTGAACCCAATTCCACCCCACACTTTAAACTGGACATTGTCCTCAATGGACTAAAAGATAGATGAGTTATGATAAAGAGTTGGAACTGTTTACCTCATTTGTTATTCAATTCGAAATATAAATAGATGGCAAGGCTTACACTCTCTTATTTTGAGAGATTCTACATAAATAAATAAAAAAGAAAAAGAAAGTAAAAACAGATAGATGGAGAGAGCTAAAGCATCATATCTTTAATAAAATCCAAAAGAAAACTTAAAATGAAAAGAAAGAACATTAATGATGTCTGAGGTCTTTGAAGAATTGCTCCTTAGTAAGATGACCAATCATACTCAGAAATCCAACCATCATCCAATTCATTTGTGTTTGTCGTGGTTGGCACCATGGGATGTAGTCATGTAGATCAAATTCATGATGGTGGATTAATCTATTGAAGTCTTCTGATGTCTCGCACTACATCTCCTTGATTATCTCTAGCCACATTTTTTACTTTGTACTGCCTATCTTGAGTGCCATTTGTGCTAGTTTCCAATCCTGAGTTGGTGGAGCTTCTTTCAACTTGTCTCCCCCTACTACTTCTTTTGTGTATTGATGATAGCTTGCTTGTAAGGAATCCTCATATGGAGACCCTAACCTCATCTTGAATTCTTGATCTCTATCTCTGGCTCCATCTTTTAATCATGTGATCATCATTGTTGCCACTTGATTGATAGGTACAGCTTCCACGACTTTCATTATCTGATGCACGGCCCCTTCTACATTCAATGTGATTTCTCCGTTTGTTGCATTGATCGTGGCACCGGTCGTGGCTAGGAATATCCTTCCGAATATCATAGAGTATTCTCGAGGTAACAATCATCTAGGTTACAAATGATCGTGTAGTGAACAATATCCTCCTTCTGTTCATATAATTGAATGATTTCTTTAGGCGCCCAAGGGGTATCCTCGATGGTGGTCTTTTCATGCTTGATTTCTTGATCCTCCTCCAGAAGTAGCTTGAGTTGCTCTTGTGGATCCTTGAGAATAGTGATGTCTTCCAATAGAGTCAACGCATTTTAGTCTCCTTCTAATACTTGGATGATCTCTTGAACAACATGTCTTCGATTTGATTCTTCAAACACCAGCCTCCTCTTCCCTCCTTGGTTGAAATCTCCTTCCTTTCCCTTCACCATCTCACAAGGATGGGCCTTCACAACTCCTTCCTTGCAAATATTTCTTAGAATATATTTCCCATGAGGGGTATCATTGTATTTTGCTCTAAATCTTATGATTTGGTGTGAGGAAAAAGAAGAGGGGACATCTCTCTTTTTATAGGTGAGTGACAGTGGGGTGACTGGGTGGTGCCGTCATCCGTTTTTCTGTTGGATAGGGAGTCTTACAAGTCCTTTGGTGGTGACAAAAACTACAAGTGCATTGTGACATACAAGTAAAAAAAGTGTAAGTAAAAATACCATTCTCTAGGGGATTGATGAAATTTAGAATTAACCAATTTGGCTCAAGAAAATATTGGAAATATTGATGGTTGTAATAAAGTAATGAGTTGCAAAAATACATAAACTAACAAACTTGGAAAATGAAATGTTTCGGAGAAATTAATATTGGGGAGTTTTGCGGGAAACACAATATATTACAATTTTACCTCTATAAATTTAATTCCGCTTGACAATCAATTTAATCCATATTTCTTCTGTTGGGATACCTCTAAATTGATAGCTATCTATAACGAGAATTACCACGTACGAACTAATTATTATGATTTCTACTTTTGTAACTAACCGAATTAATTAATTAGTCTGAAGAATGGTATCCGTAAAATGACAACATAATTCCCTATTTAATCCACTATCACTTCGATAGGTAATAATGTCGTGTGAAATGCGTTCAGTTACTAAGTTTTCACTATCGTTATTAACCTAGAAAACTTCTAATCATTGTGAAGGTGGTCAATCC